ACTTGAGAGTGGTTGTTCACAGGTCCAGGGTTTCATTTTGGGGTAATGGAAATGCTCTGAAATTGAATAATGGTGATGGCTGTTCAATCTTGTGAATATACTTAAAAAAAAAAAAACCCCACTTAACTGTATACTTTCAAATGATTAATTTTATGTTATATGAATTACATCTCAATTTGGCTTCTCAAAACCCCCCGAATGGCCTGGCTTTCGACTTATTTCTTGTATTTGCACCTTACTGAGCAAAAATTTAAAGGAGAGTGCTTTAAAGTTAAAAGGCACAGTTCGTTCTAGAAGCGCTCCTCAGCTCCCCGAGTTATCCTTCACCCAGCTTTCTGCTCACTGTAAATCCCCATGGACATACACAGTTGAGTCAAAACCTAAGATGAAAAATTGCTACCTTTGGGTAATGTTTAGAAGGTTTTTATTTCTATTTTAAACACAAGTATTGTCTGGGTGAGGCTTGTATGATATAGACAATAGAGTTCAACATAAGGGATTTTCAACAGTACGGCAATGCTAGACTTCAGAGACATCTACAGTTAAATACTTCCCTGGGAGGGCAAGAGCGACATGCCACTCTGTTGTGGTCACGAGGGCTCCACCTCTTTCTTTTCCACTGCTTTTCACAGCTTCTTTCTAGGAACTTGCTAAATTCTCATCCCCAGACAAATTCTTAAATTGGCCGCTGAGCACAGTTTAAGAATTTATCTCATACACAGCACCTCACATGGTATTTTGTATATAGCAGGCATACAAAATATACAAAATTGCTCATGGAATAAAATCATTCTCTTTCAGAAAGTAGAGGCATGGCACATGCCCCCAAAGAAGAGCACGGAGGGGCTTCCCTGGTGGCGCAGTGGTTGAGAGTCCGCCTGCCGATGCAGGGGACGCGGGTTCGTGCCCCGCTCTGGGCGGATCCCACGTGCCACGGAGCGCCTGGGCCCGTGAGCCATGGCCGCTGGGCCTGCGCGTCCGGAGCCTGTGTTCCGCAACGGGAGAGGCCACAGCACTGAGAGGCCCGCATACCGGACAAAAAAGAAAGAAGAGCACGGAGATTTGTGAATGCCAATGTCACTGGTCAGAAACCAGGACTCTCAATGCCCACAGGAAGCTGGGAGAGAGCTTTAAATAGATTACTCTTATCCATTAACAAGTAAGGGAACATATAGCTTGTGACCCACCCACTGTTGGCACTAATGAGCATCGCGATGATGTTTCTTTGAAAAAGGAATAAAGAAAGGAACAGACTATCTACTCAATTAACATTAGGTGCTTTCTTATTTTTTTACAGAAGAACTGCCAAGTGTGGTAGTAAAACAGTGTGCAAGAGTCACATGTATATTAAGTATCAGAAACAAAAGAAAAAAGAATGTATAATCTTCAGTGGCCAGATGCTGAAACACAGATCACAGTTTTTTTGTAAAGCGTTTTCGCCAGTGTTTGACTTAGTTACATTCTCTGGACTATGCACGCAAGCAGGAAAAAAATAATTTGCTTCTCATTGTGACATGCGCAAAATAAACAAAGGCGCTGATTTTTCCTATTTCTTATTTAGAAAAAACAACTCAGGCCTGGACATTGAACTGTACCTATTCTTTAGTGCACTTTTCAAATGATAATTTCTTCCACTGTCACCATTAAATCTTAATCCATTCCAGCTCCTTGCATGGGTCACTGAGTCTATATGTACTGCTGTTATTTTAAAATGTTTCCCCTTGGTAGGGA